AACGCATATCGAAGATTATTGAGATGATTATTATACTAACTCAAAATTAGCTCCATCAACCTATTCTCTCAACAGAAAAAAAAATTGTTGAATCAATGATTTATAAACACATAGTATACCATATTTAATCAAGATCTAGGAAAAATCTCCTTTAGTATCATATTAGTCAGATTTCCCTTATTCCAAAACCATAAAAAAATAAAACATATTTATCAATAAATATGTTAACAAATCTTCTCTAAAAAATTTTATCGAACAACTTGCATGTTGTGTCTCGTCCTTCCCTAGAATAACTTGATCTCTCAACACTCATTCCACGTTAATTTCTCTTAATCGTTTTTGGTTGCCAATTATAAACCTCGTACACACAAATATGAACTCCTTAATTTTCTCTTAGTTTAATTTGTATAAAAAAGATTCCATCCGCATATATCAACAAATATGTGATGCTAAATGTATGATTTTGCACAATATTGAAAAATTTTTATAGTACCTTTGAATTTATATTTAGTTGGGGTACGCATTCGCACATAGACTTTAGTATAAATTAAACATAATTGTTTACTGGAGCTATGAAATAACTGATTTTGTTTCATACGTGGTATTCACATCATCAAAATTTAATGGATTTTAAATCCGTTAAGGTCAAAGTATATATGTGCACAAAATTAAACATTTAGGTAATAATTTTTTTTCGTAATTAATATATGTTTCAACACGGTAATATATCTATCTATTCTTTTATATATGAAGTAAAAAATCATACATGACACTCTCTCATCGATTTAAAGGTGGTTGATTACAAAGATACCCTTAATAAAATCGAGATAATTACATATCGTTGCCATTAGTTTATTTCAGACCGAATTACATCTATATGTTTTTTATTATTGTTTAATTGGTTTGGGTTTGATATTTATCTTGGCCCATAAAGAATTTTTAATCAGTGTCAATCTAGCTCTATATATATCGATCTAATTTACCTCCTCTCGTTTAGAATATAGAGTCGCCTTTTTTAGGTTTAAGATTAGTTGTTTTTATTATAAACCCTAGGTAACATACATCGATGGAGATATCGACTAAAGATGTGTTCTTCAGTTGTTGGGATACTGTTTCGTGCGACGTTTCAGTATTGGTTTCATTGGGGTTTACTCTCCGAGAGGTGTGTATTAACAAACAAAATGATGTGCATTGGCTTTTGTACATGTTTCGTGAATTTTTGGCATTTGCTTCAGTTGTGGGATCTTCTTCTCGAATATGATAGAAGAGGGGGAAGGAACCACAAGAGTTTGGTTCTATCGGTATTCACACGCACACAAACTAGATCAAGACAAGATGCTAGTGTTATAGAGATCCAATCTCAAAAATCAAGAGAAATTGTTTTCTATTCTTTCGGAGTTTTAATTGCGGCTACTTCTTAATACACACATATATATACAAGTTCGTATATGTGACCTAATGGGCCAAAGCCCATACGTGAAAAGGAAGAAACTTTGTGAGCAAATAATCATAATTACTTCTCTTTTAACTTGACATTCACGTGCATTCAATGTATATACCGTGTG